TTCTTAACTAAAACTAGAGGGATAAGAAAATAAAAGATATCCTCTAAATCATAATCATTACTAGTAACTATTATATACATTAATGGCATATATGAATTAATGAATCTAAAAAATACATTCTTATAAATTAAAGATTTTTCATAACTTAATTCAAATTTATGGTTTTCTTAATCAGCATACCATTTAGAGAAATAATGAAATAATATATTTAATACTTATATTGCAATAGCTTATAAAGCACCTAATAAAAATACAACACCTTTATAAGATTTAACTTCTATCCTTAGTATATCAATTCCATAAACTATTCCAAAACTTCCCAAAAGAAAAATAGCTAATAAAATCAAAAAGAAAACAAAGTAGGCTGCTAATTTAGTAATTTATTAATGTTTTGTTAATTTTTTGGTTATATTATTTATCTCTTCATCTCCAGAAAATTTATTTTTCAAAGGACCCTCATAATAAGAAGATTCCACTTAAAGCATTTAATCAATACAACCCCATCTTGTATTTATTTCTGATGTTTTTCTTTTCCATAATTCTGTTTATACAGTAGACCATATTGTTACAACTAATACCCAATATGGTAATATTTCTGAGTGAAAATCATATAAAATAACATAGATTTATAATATTAATCCTGGAATTGCAATAATTAATGAAATACAAGAAAGATAACTTATCCAAGCAAAAAAAAAGGAAATCTATTCTCCAAAATACAATCTCATAGTTGTTAATGAAGTAAAATTCCTTCCTCTACCTTCATTTAAATAATCTTTAATCTAACAGATTGGTTAGGGAATGAATCCAAATAATAATTTTTACCATTCCTTTTTAACTATTTAAATACCTCCTGATGTATGCATAGCATAACAAGAATCTACTAATTTTGATTTCATTAATGATTCTATATTTATTGATTTAAGTAAATGTTCATAAACAATTTTTTATCTTTAACTAGATCTAAAAGGTTCAAATTTATTTCTTTGTTTCATTTTAAACTATTCTAAATCAAAAGAATCAATTAATTTAATCTGCATTTCCATTTCTTCTGCTAATCTTTCTAATTTTTTTTCTTTTATTCTTAACATTATGTAAATATAATCTTCAGAAGTAAATGAAAACATCATATATATTTCAAATTCTGCTTTTTATAAAAGATCTATTTAAAAATTAATTTATTATTCGATTAGCTTTTTTTAATCTCCTAATTAGAAAGATTTTTTCATTTAAAAATAATCAATTAAATTAACTTTAACTGATTAATCAAATTTTAATACTATATCAGGTACAAATAATTAACTTGAAAATAGTATTAATTATTCATAATGATCATATGAATTCTTAGATTTTTGATTTGAAATTTATGGTTATAAATTTAATGGAATAACTTTATTAGTAACTTTTTTAGTTTTTTTTGGTTTTTAAATTAAGTTTGAATTTTCTTTTGTATTTGAAGTTCTTAAATCTGTAATTTTGGCTGATTCACTCTAATCTATTTAAGAAATAGTTTATTATTTCTTTTGTGATTTTTATTTTTATTTTCCTATTATTCTTACTTTCAATTATTATCTATAATATTTAGATTTTTATTAAATATTTTCAGTTAAATTATATTAATCCTCAAAATTAGCTATAATCTTTAATCTTTTTTGTTTATGTTTTTAGAATATTAATTCAATAGATTGTAATAATTAAGCTTAACTAATCATATATTTCTATTTTTTAATTAATCCATCATAATATAATTAAGTTGTAAAATCTCTAGTTAATTATTTTGCTCTAAAGAATTCATTATTTTCTGCTTCTGGATCAGCAAATTTATTTAAAAGAAATTTAATAATATTTTAATCTCCATTTAATGATGCTAAATGTAATGGTGTATTTCCATGATTATCTTTTACATTAATATTTAATACATTCCTACAAAATGTTTATTTTGTTTAAACATAAAATTAATTATCTTATTTTTAATCTCTTAGATTTAAGAGCATATAATTAACTCTTGCAAGTTCATATTTATATATTTAATCTTATAATAAATATCTCTAAAGTTCATGATAATATCTTTCTTTATAAATTGAAGTATCTTTTCTTTCTAATAATAAATTTATTCCAGGAACATCATTTTTTGAGATATATTCTAAATAATTACTTAATTTTTTGTAATGAAACCCTTCTCTTCTTTTTTCTCTTTTTATTTATTTTTTTGATTATCCTGGATCTGGTTTCATAATTGATAAATCTAAAATTTCAAATTTAACTATCATTTTTAAAGCTTCTGCATTACAACTAAAACAGCAAGCATGAAGACAAGTTTATGAATCTAAAGATTTAATAGGAAACATTATATAAATTCTTGGTAATTATTGTATTATTGTTTTGATATATTTATTGAATTTAGATCTGCAACACCAAAATAAGATTTTTGTATATAAAAGTGGATTTTATAATTCAGCTTCATATTTTGAACATATTTCTTAAAATTCTATATACTCAGTCTCATTTTTTCCTTTCAATTCACCAATCCAAAATAATTAACATTCTTTTAACAAAATAACCATATTTTCTATTAGTATTTCTAATACTTAAGTATGTGAATTTTTGCCTGCTAAATCCATTGGGTATAAACCGTTATTATCACAAAGAAATGAAAAAGCTTTATTTTACAATAATAATTAAACACTAGCTTCATCACCATAAAATGAACACCAATGAAGTGGTCTCCATTAGTTATGAGGATTTACTTCATTTACATTTGAACCATTATCAATTAAAATTTTCAAACATTATTATCTATTTTAATGCTATTTTGAATCATTTAAAAAACAGCATATTTATATTGGAGTACATCCAAATATATCTGGCTATTAAACATACCTCTTTACTTAATCTTATATTTCTGAAAATTAATAATCCTCACAATCAAAATCTATCTCTATAACTTCTTCATCTTCATTTTCATTATTCTTTATTTATGATATTTTCCTTTACATTTTAGATCTTTCTTATTTCTTATTATCTTTGAGTAAATTTTGATAATCCTATATTAAAAGTTCAAGTATTTTTGAATCCTATCTTAGAGCTGTTTAATGTAATATATTCCCTATATTGTTTATTCTAAAAAGTACGTTTATCTTGATCTTAAACTGTGAAATCACTTTCAAATCTTTAATTTTGATTTGATCCAACTCTCTTTACAAAATTGTCTTCCACAATAACATCCCATTATTCATCAATTTCATCTTGTCTAGAAATCTAATCAGATCTGATTGAAGGAGAACTAGGACTACTATATTATCGTTATTGTTGAGGTGAATTATATTAAGTCCATGATGATTTTTATAATTAAAGCATTTAATATGTAATTTATAACTGTGTATTTTAAAATTTGAGTGAAAGTCAAAGAAACAAGACATTTTAAACTAAAATCAATTGTTTGTTTTTTCTACTTTAATTCTCGAAACTTCAAAAAATTTAGTAGCATTGAATTTCTTTCTAACTGCTTATAAAGAACTTAAATCTGCAGTTTAAAGTAATGTACATAATTCTTTAGCACAAGGTTTTAATTAATTTTCATTCTATGTTTTATGTGTAGGAGTTCTATAATTATTAAAATATATTACCTTATCTTATTAACTAAAAATATAACTGATTAAGCAATTTAAGATGGTTTATATATAATAAATTTATATTCAACTAAAGCCAATTCCAGTATATATTAAGCTAACGCTTTATTTTTAGGATCTAAATCAGTTGAATATTTTTATAAAAATTAATAAGCAGTAGGATTACAGATATTGAAATTTAAAGCCTATAACATTAAACCTTCCATTTCTAAAACATCACTTTTCACATATGCATTATCTGTAATATAAACGAAATCCTTTAATGCAGGAGGATATATCTCTTCATATTTACAAGCAATAAACAAGGCTGCCACACCTACTAATTACAATCTCATTCTTGTAACTTAAGCCAAAGCTAAATAACGATCAATTAATGAAATTGTAATGTAAAGAGTTTCATCCTTCAACTTAAATTTAGCATGGACATCAACTAACCAATCTACAAGAATGGCTCTCATTTTAATGTTGATGTCTGGTTATTACTCAGGTGTCATATATTAATTTATAATATATTTATTCTAAAATTAACTAAAAATAATTACTTCCTCCATTAATAAGTGTTGTAAAATTTCATTCGAATATAATTCTACTTTTTATGGATTTAAATATTCCTTGCTCTTTTCTATTTCTATTTCTATAGGAATTTTTTCTGATTCTCTTCTAAACAATTTATTTTCTTTATCATCCAAACTTGTAGTAAAGACCTTTGGAATTATCGAAAAAGGTTTTTTATGTTTTTCTACAATCATACCTATTTCCTTGGATTAATGCAGAGATGAATTTGCTATTTCCTTTCCAAAACATCTTTAATTTTCGATGATCATTCTGTTAATATTAAATAAATTATTATTATCGTTAAAAACTAAACTCCTATATATAAATTAAAGTGAAAAATGAATTTCTTAATATTTTCACTTATCATTTCCATTTTATCACTCCTTTTGTTTTAATCATAAAATAAGAACAATATACAAAGAAAGTTACACTTCTTAACTTTATTACCATATTATTTTGTATCCTAAATAATCTTTATTATTCTTTCAAAAATATAAGCCTTTTATAGTGATATCAATATTTAAATAGCATAAATAGCTAATATTTTAGAATTTCAATAGATAAAAGTGCATATTTGATCTTATCATATAGATCATTATTTATTTTATATTTAATTATTTTTAGATAATAGAATTATTTACCAAGAAGTTATTACTTAATTCAATATATTTTACATATTTTAATAATCTAATTAAATGATTCATTAATATTGATAATGATATAAATATTAATGAATTAAAAGTCAAATAAAAACCAATAAATAACTTAAGAATGAATATATTGAATTATTTAATTATTAAAATTATATTCGAAAAGATGTGTGATCATTCTGATTCTTCTGAGTTTTATTCCAAGTCTTCTGGATAAGATTATAAGTAAGAGGTGCTTTTAAATTAAGGAAACAAGATCATTAGATATAATAAAATAGTGAAAGTGAAAATGACTTAATAAAAAAGAAAGCTAAATTAAATGATGAAAGTGGATAAATTAAAATATCAAGAAAAGTGAGTGATGATTTAATTAAAATATTTGAAAGATTACCTAATGATTAAATAACTAAACTTTTAGATGTAATCAAAGTAAAAAATTCACGTATAACAAAATTCTATTTTTATAGCTGATTTACAAGTATAAGTCAATTTAGAAGATTTAATGCCAAAAGAAGATAACTTTGTCTTAGATAGTTAATCAGATTCTTAAAAGGGAAAACAAAGGAAGAGAAGAGAATCAAAAGAAAAAGAATGTAAATGTTGTAGATAATTTGTTAAACGTCATCATTGTACACATACAGGTTGTGAAAAACCTTGTTAAATCTAAGAAAAAATGAAGAAAAATAAGCAATGAAATTATTATTAATTTTTATACTATACATCATTTTATTTATATTTAGTCAATTTTAGCATCCTTATTATATTAAAATTATATACCTTCCATATTTCAAATTTATTCTTTCCTGATCTAAACAGAAATTCAATCTAATAAATATTTATAAGAAATAATACCCTATCAAACTTTTTTTTAGGAATATTTTAATTCTTCCTATATTCATTCTAAGCATACTATATAATACTAGATTTAGCTGGCTCTGGCTTAAGACTGGCCCATTTAAGAACTGATCTATAGAATTACAATATTTCTTTCTGAAATTTTGAGTGCATATGACTATTTTAATAATTATATATATATATTATTTCAATAATTTAATTTTTTTGATTAAGTGATAGGATATAAATATAATATTAATTATTGATTAAAATCTAAAAGAATACACTATATATATTATAATATATACAGAAAGAACTAATTACTAAAATTTAAATAAATTCTTTTGAAGTCTCCTTAATATATTTATATAATTATAATTTATTTATTGTTAAGAAAAATAGGAAATCAATTCCATTTAATTTTAGTTAAAAATAATTTTTCTAAAATGATTTTACCTTCCTTATATTTTTCAGATTACTCATAAGCATGAAGCTTTAATATAGTATTTTATGACTTTACATATTTCCATCCAAGATAAGTTTAACATTTAATGCACATTAAGTCTTATGTTGTATGTAAACCAGTTCTTAATTTTTTTTCTTCTGGTTTTCCTGTTAAATAGTTTACACTTTTATTATTATTATAAATTTTTACCCTTTTTCAAATAGAAATGCAGTTCCTGACTTTCCTGTAAATTGCTAAAACTTAACTCAAGGTATTACTTTAGAAGTCAAGTAATCTTAGTTTGAAAGATGAACATTGCATTTCTTACATGCATAAATTTTCTTGCCTTCAAGGTATTCGATTATAATTTTTCCCATTATATATTTATTTTTAATAAATTTATATTATTGAATGCCTTAAAAAAAGGAAGGATTCTAATCTATAGGTGAGTTTTTGAGATTTTCATTATCCACAGATGATTAAGCAACTCCAGATCAAATCAAAACAGCACTTTTTTTTGTTAGATAAATAGTTTCAGTCCTTCTAGGATTAACAGCAGGGTTTTTACATTTATAAGGCATTTTGACAATTTTGGGATTTCTGTTTTTATCAATGGGATTTTCATATTATTATGTCTTCACATATAAATAAGTACAAATTAGCATTATAATTAGATTGATGAAGATAAAATAGAGAATACAGAAATATACACAGAAGGATTAGGAGCATCAATTGGAGAATTTTTATTATGTTGGACCTTAATTCATACTGTGGCTTGAATATTATGAAATGTTACATATAAAATTATAGTATATATGAATATTCTCATATACACGAGAATTTAATATTGTGTAAAAACTAAAAAAAATTGAATAAATCAAAATTAATGTCTGCAAACAGGACATTGTTTTTTGACTTTGAGCCAAACAATTAGACAACTCTCATGAAATTTGTGGGAACAAAGAGTCAATACAATAGGATCCTAAGGATTTAGTTAAATTTATAATGGATTAGTTATTTCTATACCTTGAAGACAAATAGCACATTCAAGATTATTATTAATACCCTAATCATCAAAATTTGAATAAATATTTTGTTCCCTTATTTCATTAGTGAATTCTTCAACTTAAGATTTAGTCTAATATAGTTATGGTTTCACATGAAATTAATAAAGTATGATGCATTGTTATATGCAAATGAAAATAGCCACACTTATACAAATTCCTAAGTTATCTTGAAGTTTAAAGATATTGATTGGGCAACCTCGATAATAAGAAAAAAAAATCAATATACAATAATCCTCTAGAAAGCAGAAATAAGTGATATTAGGCATTTAATTGTGTTGATGACATTTAATGATTTATGGTATTTTGTAAATGCATAATATTTGATACATAAGATCCGATAGAATTGGAATTGTGAACCATTAAATAGTTATTAGTAAAGCACATCCAAACATCATAAAGACTTGAATTCCTAAGAACTCTACTATAGGGTAATCTTCTCTGAGGATATGATTCTCATATCTATATATTTTCAATAACCATCTATAATCAGTCAACATTAATGTTATAGCATAAAGACATGTTGATATCAATAAGAATAGGTTGAATTTACCTATTTCTTAAATATTTTCTATGTGTTTAAAGAACAATGTGCAATGAAGAAGTAGAAAATTGAATTACATTTGTATTTTCATTAGAGTAGCCAAAGTTGATTCCTATCATAATATCATGATCACATATTTACGGTTTCGTAATGTGAAGTTGGCATCTGATTAACTTTATAACGATGTACACCTGAACAAAAAGCTTTGAATATTGTTAATGCTGTGAAGATTGTCAAATAATCGATTGCATCATTTTACATTTTTAATTATTTATTTAATCATTATAAATAATAATCTCTATGTGCCCTTGATGCCTCTTCTTTTATTGCAAAGTTCCTTGTATTTCTTAATAATCACTACTTCATATTTATTTTGATTTATATATTCAATCATGGCATTAATCATATATTAAAATCTTTTTTTTAAAATTTAATACAAATGGTTAGCAGATTGAGAAAGTGTAGAAAAATGAGAGGACATGTATGTCATGGATACGGTAGAGTTGGTAAACACAGAAAACATCCAAGTGGTAGAGGTGTTTCAGGAGGTTTAACACATCATAGAATCAATTTCAATAAATACCATCCAGGATATTTCCAAAAAGTACCCATCTACTTCTATTCCTACTATAGACCGGTATGAGACATTTTCATTTGAAAAAAAATACACTTCATAGACCTGTTGTGAATATTGATAAATTATGGTCACTTGTCACAGATGAAACCAGAGAAAAATATGCTAAATCTAAGGACAAAGCTGCTGTCATTGATGTCACCAAAGCTGGTTATTTCAAAGTCCTTGGAAAAGGTAGACTTCCCAATTAACCTGTTGTTGTTAAAGCTAAATTCTTTAGCAAAACTGCAGAGAGAAGAATCAAAGCAGTAGGAGGAGCATGTATACTTGTAGCTTGATACATTACACATTACATAATTATAAATTACAAATATTCAATTTTTGCAAAGCTTTACTATTTAAATATGTTTTATAATCAAATCAAAGTTGCTACTACTACTTTATTTAATTATATTTTTATTTCATTAAATTTTTCACTTTTTAAATGAATGTATATTATAAAAAGATATAATTAAATAAATTTATGATCAAATTACCAGAAAATATTTAAACACTCAAGACTTCTAAAGATAAATAATTTAAAGGTAATTTGTGTTTTATTATTAAGTTCTTATAACATATTGTGGTGGATGAGGATATTGGTCACAATATAACTTGGCCTAATAATATATTAAATCATTATATCCTTAAGCCGAAGTGACAGGTAAGTCCTAAGATAAAGTAACAGGTGAAATGGAAATAACTGTAACTAGAAGTGATGCTAAATCTGAAAAAATTCATTCTAAATTAGGTGGAGATGGACCATTTGGATCATAATCAGCAGAAAAGGCAATGAAAAAGCTAGTCAATTTTATTGAAAATTGAGACAAAACATAAATATATCAATTAAATCATTTAAAGACCAAGAATGAAGATTTCTTCTTAAATAACATAGTTGAATTCTGATTAATAAAAATTGGATCATTAAATGATTATAAATCTGATATAAAATATTATTAATAAAATATCATTAATATTCTTCTTCTTCTTCTTCTTAATTCTAATTTAATTCTTCTACCTCCTACTTATTTTATATTTCTTATATTGATTATTCTTTATTTTATTCTTACTCTTATGATTTTTATCTATTTTGCTTAATTGATTAAGTACTTACTTAATTTTAAATTACTTCACTTTAATTAATTTGAAATTTAGATTTCTTTTCAATTATGCCTTTTGGATCACAATAATTCAATATCTAATGCAAATCTGATTTACTATTTTTTACACTTTTTGATTAAAATAGCCTTTCAACTTATTGTTATTACTCTATAAAAGATGGTTTACAAAGAGAAGGTAGAGAAAATTTGTATTCTTTCATAAGAGATTCGTTATTATTTTTGCTTTTATTAATTGATTCACTCATTTTATTCTTGAGCATAGTTGGTAACTAAGCATAAGGACTATTTAATGGTTATTTTAATAATTTAGATGAACTATATGATTTGAAATAAGTAGGGATTGATACAGATACATTATTTGTATAATCCTTAATACTTAAACTCATAGCAGTTTTTAGATCATACTTTAAAGAATTCTCAAACTATTATGAACTTTTTAATTTACTTAATTAATTATATATTAATTTACCTCATTAATAATTATTCTTCATTAGACAATTAATCACAATGTTATTATTATTCTGACATTCTTTTAGCTAGTTATTCTTTAAATTCTTTTTCTTCTAATCTTATTTTATCAATTTTATCTATTTCTCTTTATTTTAAGTTGAGTTTTAAATTGAATTCCCATTCTGATATCTATTAAATATTTGTATTAAATACTTTTGCATATTGTTATTGTTTCTAAAATAATTATTGATCTCTTTTCTTTTAATTTATAAGCATTTCTAAATCCAATTTTTATTTCATCTATTAAGTTTGAAGATACTTCTCTTCCAACATATTCTATTTATTTTGTCTTAGTTCTTCATTCAATAAAGCTTTATTTCTTTGAACCATATATTAGACTCCATCATTATTATCATCACTACTTTGTAACATTTATTTCAACTAAATCCTTTTAACAATGAGGTTACCTTCATTTAGTCATAAAACTTTTATTTTTTAGAATAGACTATCTTATCTACTTTTGTCTTTAAGATATTATTATTTGCTTATTGCAAATTCAATTACTATTTCAATTAGTTTATTCTGTTTTCTAAGGCAGAGAGTTCTTAATTTTTCTAATTCAGTTGTGTTATATGTTAAGAAACTGTTTCCATGTGAATAAATTATAATAATGAATGATAATTTATCCAAAGCATTACAATTAAACGGAGTACTATAGAAACGTAGTCCCAGTATGATAAAGGGGTATCAGAAACGTTACTTCTCTGTCAGAAATGAAGGATAGTATCTTATATATTGGAAGAAGAAGCCCCTTTCTTCTAAAGATAAGCCCCAAGGTACTCGCATGCAGGAAATTAAGGTGTCCTTAGTTTGACTTCCATTTCCACAGTTGCCAATGTTAAGGGATCCGATACAGAATTCATTTTGGTAGTGGGCGATCGTTAGTTCTAATTAAAAGCAGAGACTGCTTCATAACGTGAATTTTGGGTTGAAAGCATATTGCATTTGAAGGAATATCGTTAAAAATTAGAAGGAGATAATGAACCTGTTCAATAAAAGGTTAAATGGGATGAGTTGGATAAAGAGACTATCACAAAAATAAAATTGGAAGTAGAGAAAGATCATTTAGAGAAATTCTCAAATAAGATTGACATTAAAAATGATGAAGTTATGAAATGTAAAGGAATATATCCATATCTAATAAAATTTGATGCAAAAACATAAGACTAATTCATAATTTGTGGATTTTTAATGAAAAAAGGCAAAAATACTACATTCACAAGAGCAAAGAAAAGATGGTTTATTATGATGTCATCTGTTTGTATTACAGGATAGGAAACAGATAAAATAGGTCCTACTTAAGCAGACATACCTGATACTTTTCAATTAGATACTATTTATTATTTTGCATATGATGATAGAGGTGATAAAAGTAATTTTATTGCAAGAATTCCTGTTTCTGAAATTGAGAATATAGAATAGATAGATAAAACATCTGGATAATTACCTTATGGATTAAGTTTTGAATATAATGATAGAGTTTATTAATTCTTTTCAGAATAACTTACAGATATATAAAAATGGATTTTAGCTATTTAATGTGTTAAAAAAAAACCAAAAACTGGTTTAAAGAATTCATAATAATTAGAAAAGAAAGAAGAAATTATTTACGAAGGACCACTTCAAAAATAATCAAGCAAAATTATTAAAGGACCTTTATCTTGGATCAATGTTAATGCTTAGTTAAAAAAGAATTCTCTTAGTTGGACAGCTAAAGATGATTCTTAAGGAAATTAATATGTCTTGTTGATTTACATTAAATAGGTAATTGGTAAGAGTAAATCATTTTAAGTAACTTATAATTCATTTATTAGATCTTCACAAATGATGATCAAGAATTTAAGTTTAAAGCATAAACACCTGAATTAAAAGACTAATGGGTCAAGATCATAAAAGAATAAGTTGATGCTTTAAAAGGAAGTATATAGAATTTAGAAGAAATATTGGAATTACCACCAGAAGAAGCCACCAAGATAGATTATAATGAATAAATTAAAGATGAAGATCTATATGATTAGGAAACAATAACTGAAAAATTTTACAATAAAATGACTCTTTAAATAGAGAAAAGTAAATAGGAAGAAAAACTTAAGAGTAAATCATTCATGTCTAAACTCCTTTGCTGTTTTGGTGGTGGTGAAAGTGAATATGATTATGTAAAAGATAGAGGATTTTGAGAATATTCAATAATCTTTAATAAAATATTATTTATTAGAATATCTTATTTTAATATAGAGAAATCATAACAATATTAATTTCATATAAATATTATTAGTTAATTAAGTACACAAATAAATTAAATTTCAAGTAAATTATTGGAAAATAAGATGTATTCTAAAGACAGCTCAATTCCTTAATCCTGAAATTGAAAAAACTAAAATAGTAAAGTATTAAAAAGTGAAGGGAGAACTCTTTACTTGAATAACATTTTGCAACAATAACATCTATGCTATTGTAAACAAAGCTTTTATAATAAAATACTCTTTTTAGAAAGACGATTATGTATTCTAACAAGGATTTTAATAAATAAATTATATGTAATTACGAAAGTCTAAAATAAAATAATCAAGATGTTTCAGAAATTAATTATATATCAAGCAATATCAAAATTCTCTTATATCAAAAATAATAATAATAAGAATCATGCAAACAAATAAGATAATCTAAGATAATAATAGTTTCAATCAATTTTATTGCAATTCTAATCTTTATAATATTTTTATTAGTCACAAAGTTAAGCATACTAGACAGAGCAAGAATTCTAATGGAAGTTTCTTTCAGCAATAATTACTTGAAAAGAATTATCAATATATTTTGTAAATTAAAAAGCTAAAAATTAATTAATTGTGAGAATATTTTCTTCTAGATCAGAAAAGTGTTTAAATTTGAATGGTTTTTATATTTATATTTTTATTAATAACTAAATTAAGAAAATTTTTATTTTTTTATTATTTTGATTATCGTTATCATTATTAATTTTTCAAAAAAAAACAATATATGTTAAAATAAATAAAACTTAGCAAATCAGAATCAAATGACTCTGTTAATCAATCCTTTTTAGCTAATGTTGAAAAGTATAAATGTAACTTTAGATTTCTATAACTTTAGAAAGTAAAACTGATGCCATTAACATTTATGATTTAAATAGCATTAAATTGCAAGCAGATGTCATTCTCAAAAATATAGAAAATTAAATTAATAGTATATTTCATATATTAAATAGAATGTTCTTAATGGAAATCATAAAAAGAATAACATTTTTCATTGAATACTACTTAAACTACTGGAAATTAATAATAAGAAAGACATTGGAGCTCTTCTATTAACAAAAAAATTCAATAGTCAAGACCTTTTTCTGCATTATCAGGAATTGCCCCAAGAATTAAAAGAGTTGAAGAGAGTAAGGTAAAAGATAAAATAGAATCTTAATAATAAATAATCGAAAAGTGTATTTAACCCTAAAAATAACCAAAAACAACTTTAGATTTAAATTAGTTATGCAATCAAGAGTTACTTATGGGAAATTTCAAATTGGAAACAATACTTGGATCTGGATCATTTGCAATGGTTAGAATGGGTGTTGATAAAAATACAAAAGAGAAATATGCTATTAAAATTTATGAAAAAATAAAATTGAATGATTCTTAAAAGATGAATAATGTAAAAAGAGAAATATCTATATTGAAAAGAATTGAACATTAAAATATAATTAAATTATATTGGGCAATAGAAGATAAAAAATCAGTACTTTATTATAATATAAGATAAATTTAGTCATGGAATATATTTCCTCATAATCTTTGGCTTCGTACATAAAGTCAAAGCCAAATAGAATCTTACCAGAAAAGGAATGTTTAACTTTATTCTATTAAATTGCTATGGCTATAAAATATTTACATGATCTAAACATAAGTCATAGAGATATCAAATTAGATAATGTGTTAATGTTAAAAACAAATGTTATTAAATTGATAGATTTTGGTTTTGCTATTTGTATGCCTCAGAATTAAAAAACTAATGTATTTTGTGGCACACCTCATTATATGTCTCCAGAAATCATAGCAAAAGTAATTTAATAATTTATATAATAAGATTCCTCATCATCCTTTTAGTTCAGACATTTGGTCATTAGGAATTTTGTTATCTAAAATGTTAACAGGAGAATATCCTTTTAAAGGATAAAATGATAAAGATTTATATCGTTAGATTTAATGTTAAAAATTAAAAACTAATTAAGATAAAAAAATTAATGAAAATATAATGAGAATTATAAATGGATGTTTAGAAAAGAATATTTAAAATAGATGGAATATCAATTAAATAATTAATGATCCAGTGTTTCATAATGATATATTAATACCATCATTAAAAAGTTTTTGAATTAATGAATACAAATTATATAATTAAATTAAGTCATCATCCTTCTTAAGTTTTTGCTCTCCAATTTTATTATTGAAAACTTTTTTCATTTTTTAAAGTTAATCTTTATTTTGGGTTTTCCATAAGCTTAATTTATTATTAAATTATTACTTTTCTTGACTTTTTACTTATAGTAGGAGTGAAAGATGGTTTCATATTTTAAATTTATTATTCTATTTTAATTTATCTATTTTATTAAAATTATTCTATTCTTTAATCAAAATTCTTTCCTTTTAATTTGCTATCTAAAATCTATGAATATATATTTAAAGAACTACTTTACTAGATTATTCATTTAACACTGGTTAATAAAGAAATTCATTTTCATTTTAAGATGCTTCCCAAAGTTTTTTTTCAAATTCCTTTTCAAAAAATTCAGCTCTTTTCTTCATAAACTTCTATTATTCTTTAAAAAATTCTTCTATTTAATCCTTACTTACCTTTTTTTCTTTAATTATTATAAAATTATACTTTATTAATATTATTATTCATTTAGTTTTTGACTATATTATTTTTATTTAGCTTCTTTATATTCCTTTTCATATTAATATCTTATGTGAATTGGAATTAAAGGATTACTTTTAATAGAAGTACTATTTTATGATTTTGATTTTTATTATTATTCTGAAGAATTATTTAATTTAGTATATATCTCTTAATTTAGATCAGTCATATAATTAAATTAGCATTCTTTTTCATTGTTTTATTTATCAATGCTTTAATCAATTAGATATTCGAGGTTAATTTTTGTTTGGTATTTTCTTTTTTCAAGTTTTTTAAGTTTTGTACAATCAAAAGAAGTTTATATATTTTAATGTCTAAACTTAAGAAATTCATCCAATTCTTACTATATTTTTATTCCTTTCTCTAACTTTTTCTATGAACCTTTGCTAATTAATGTTTATTTATCTTCAAATTAAAAGCTATTGTAAGATTATTTATTTCCTCTTTAATTTGAATCCCATAAACTAATAACATCATTATTCATTTATTTATCTCTAGATAATGAAAATTAGAAATTAGTTGAATTTGGATCAATTGTAATATTATTATTTGTTCTAAAGATAGGTGAAAAATGTTTTCTTTAAGTCCTTGGATTGCTAATTACTTTAATTATGTAAATTTTACATTTTTTATCCATATTCGTAGATGTCTCAAAATCAGAAACAGTTATCTCATTAGTATCTTAATTAATATAAGTTTGTTAATTGCTCTAATTCTATTCAAACTACTCTTTCAAATCTTTCTTTTCATATTCATAAATAGGTTTGATATGTTTAGAATTCACACCCTTTTATTTCTATTTCTATGGATGTAAACATTTTGCTTTAAAATATGTCTATTAGGAAAATTTTCTCAAATTCATTAAATTTAATATAATAATATTTGTCATTTTTGATCAAATTCTTAATTGCATTTTTAGTTTTCATTAAAGAATTTGAAATAATTTAATAGAAATTGAGAAAATATCTTATATTTTTTTAGGATATTTAGAATTTTATGAAATTATAACTGAATAAAATATTATATTACAATCCCATAAGAAAAAATTATTTGTGTAATAGTATATTATCTTATTATTGTCTTAGTTTTTTTATTTAAAAATTTTGGAATTATTTTAAGATTTTGATTGATTATAAATAAGATTAGGAATCTATGCATTTGTCTAGATATTATTAATTAATAAAATTTATATTTGATTTAAGAATCTAAGAATTTTAGATCATACTTATATGATATTTTATACAAGTATAAGGAATTTTACATAATATCATTGGGCAAAGGATGAATTTATATTCATCAGTATTTATTAAGATATTAGATATGAATACACATATTAATTTTTACTAAAAATCAAAACAATAATATTTTTAAATAAAATGTAAGAAAGTAGTGATAATTTCTAAGATTCTTAAAGTTAAAGTTCAGAATAAAGATAAAAAGGGAGTGTACCATCATTTTTAGTAAGACTCTTCGATATTATGGAAGTATTATCTAATAATTCACAATAGAATGATGATCTAAAAGAAATAATTGGATGGAATACAGAGGGAAATGCATTCATTGTAAGAAATCAATAATTACTGGCTGATAAAATATTACCAAAATATTTTAAACATAAGAATTATCCAAGCTTTTTAAGGTGAATTTTATTCTAAATTTTAGATAACTCAATATGTATAATTTTAAAAAAAGTAAAGCTGATGATATAAATTAAAAATTTGAACATAAATGGTTTAGAAGAGATGGAAGAGCTTTATTGACTAATATAAAAAGAAGAAATTAAGAAGAAAATGATGATAAAGATGTTTTATATATATTAAGAATCTTAGGAAATTCCACAAATAGTTGATGAAATTGAGTAGTTTAAGAAAGCTTAAAAGGAATTAAAAAATGAAATTTAAGCTATAGCTGATAGTTAAAAATAACTATAAATAGCATTATAATAAATTATGCAATAAAATGAAACACTATTTTAGGAAAGTTAACAATTAACTTAGGAACTATCTAATATGTAATCGAAAAATTAACAGAGATTTGCTAATTATTCCAATATATTAACAGAAATAGTTTAAAGATTATAATAAGAATAAGAAGAAGAATTAAGTATATCAGATTAATTATTGTAGGAAATAGGGATAATATATAGCCATAACTATAAGGAGAATAAAAAAAGGCCAATGTTATATAAATAAAATAAGAATAATCTAGTCAATAATAATAGTTCTTATCTTAGTAAAATAATTTATCTGCAAAT